CAACATTCTCTTCTAAGCGTTCCAAGAAACAGGAATCAAGATAAACCATTCCAAAACAGAATCTATGTTTTAGTGGCATTACTACCTTGCTTGGGGTGATTCCAATTAAAAAAAAAAGTTATTGCATTTTGTTTGGGCCAGAGCATACTGCCACTGGACCAGAAATAATTTTGGTCTACTTTTACTAGTACCTTATCTTTCAGTCATCAGTTTAACACTTATTGTTGAGAATTGAGAGAAGGGAGAATAAAAGACACTCACTTGTTACTGGCCCTAAGAACCTGATGATATATATATATATATATATATTTTTAATGGACTATAATTGGACAGTTCAAAGGTGAACCACTCCCTTTGAAGGGGAAGTGAGAACTGTTACTGGACTGTAGCAAGCAGTTGGAAGTCAACGATTCTGCTTTCTCTCCTGAGGCCAATATACTGATAATGATGATGATGATGATGATGATGATGATGATGATGATGATGATGTTGGGCGGGGGGGTGACTATGCTGATGACATTTATTCACAGTTGGGATAAGAATGGTCTTGAACAAAAAAATCAACATCCTCTTCTAAGTGTTCCAAGAAACAGGAATCAAGATAGACCATTCCAAAACAGAATCTATGATCTAGAATTGGAATGGAAACACTGATGGCATATATCCTGAATTAATCATAAAAATTGAGAATATGGAATTAGTAAATATTAAAGAGTTCAGCATATGAATCAGTTTTAACAAATTTAGTATGGGAGATAAGAAATAAATTTAGTGTACTTTTACTAGAACCTTATCTTTCAATCATCAGTTTAACATTTATTGTTGAGAATTGTGAGAGGGGGGAAAAAAAGACACTCACTTGTTACTGGTCCTAAGAACCTGATGATATTTTTTTTTAATGGACTATAATTGGACAGTTCAAAGGTGAACCGCTCCCTTTGAAGGGGAAAGTGAGAACTGTTACTGGACAATAGCAAGCAGTTGGAAGCAATACCGCTTACGAACAGGAGGTTTGTTTCTCTCTCCCTGCTGAAATGGCAGGCAGTGTTTGCACATAAGTAAAGGATGCATGGGTAACAAAGTTGCTGAAGACAAAGATTCCCTTTAAGTCTTCAGAGAAAGTTTGAAAAGAAATCCTCTCGAAGAAAACCCAAGAATAGAAAGAACCAAGAAGTCCCTAAGTAGTGTTTGGGGCTAAAGTCATTGAAGAAGGAGGAGGAGCAAAGATATGCCATTGCAAGAAGTGTATTACCGCGTGTTCTAAGTAAGTTTTCCACTTCTGCGGCCTTAAAAGAAAGATGAATTTTCCTTTTGGACAGGAGGAAAATAAGAAGAAAAAGAAGGGAGATTGGTCACCAAAGCAAAGAGAACTTTTTCTCCATAAGAAAAAAAAAAAAAGCAAAGAACCTTTGAACTTTGAAAGTACAGAAAGAGTACTGTAGAGCAAAAGGCTTCTTTTTTTTGTTGTTGTTATGATTGACACAGCTTGTGGGCTCTATACTTTTGTTTGTTTTTTTGTTTTTTTTTGTGCATTGTAAATTTTTAAGTTTTGATTTTCTGGTATGTTTTTTGCATTGTGTTAGTCAGAGAATAGGTTATCCTATTCTCAGCAAAAAGGGATGAATTTTTGCAAGCACCCTTGTTTAGCGGTTAGTAATAAATATTTTTTCTTTGTATAATTGAATTGGATTTGCATTTATTTTTTCTATTTCGTTATTACTTCAGGCAGTAGTGAAAATACTATTGCAGCAGGTTTTATTTTCTGAAAGAAAAGAAAATTTCTGAAAGCATATCTTCATTGCATTTTCTTCTTCTGATAAGACCAGTATTTCTTAAGTCAAAATTGTGGGCACTGTATTATAGTGAACTACCAACATATTTCTAAATCTCTATCTATAAAAGGCAGAATGTGTGTGTGTTTAACGAATACATGGCTGCAATTTTCAATGGATTTGCACCAAAATTTACATGCACATGCTCCAAGTTAGCGGGAAAGCCAAGACCGACTTTGCATTTCCCAACTCCCAGCTGACTGACACGAATGTTAACTAGCATGCAAAAATAATCGATAGCTGCATTCGTCACAAGTGGGAAAAATTTAAATCTGCATGGCACTTTACTCCAATTGGCCCATTCGCTTGCTTAAACTCAATGTTAATTCTGATTCCGCAGAACTGGGATGCATGTGAAAAAGTATTTGTTGTTAACATTCTTTTTTCATTCGGTTTTTCCAGTTACGAGTCCTTTTTTAAAGCTGATCGTTTTGTGTTCATTTTGTTTAGTTCTTTTTTCGTAACAGATTTAATGTTTAGTACAGAGCTTAGAAAAAATTTGCAGTGTGAGCTAGGCAAGAAGTAAGGCATGTAACAACATCAGCACGGCAAAGGGCACTTCTTTAAAGGCAAGGAAGGGCAAAAATATTTTAAGTCAAGTGATAGCGATTGCTGTATGAGTAGTCCGATTTTTGAATCAAGCACGGGCAACGCCGGGCCATGCTGCTAGTATCTAATATTTCACGTTTCTATTATATTTAATATTTTTTATTAATTTATGAATTATGAACTTTATCCAGAAATGATCTAAATATTTAATGTTAATTAAAAAAACCCGCTTTTTTCTTCTTCAAATAACTCTCCTGGGAAACTATCTTTTCCCAGCAACCTTTTCACTTGACAAAAGAATTTGTAATCTTCTCATTCTGGATTGACATTAACCTGAAAACAAATAAGCTAACTGAAGACAACAATCCTGCTTTCCCTCCCAGGGCCAATATACTGATGATGATGATGATGATGATGATGAGTGGTGGGGGTGGCTATGCTGATGACATATGTATACATAGTTGGGATAAGAATGATCTTGAACAAAAAATCAGCATCCTCAATCAAGTGTGCCAATAAACAGGAATCAAGATAAACCTTTCCAAAAAAGAAACTATGATCTGGAATTAGAATGGAAGCAATGATGGCACCAACCCTGACTGAATCCATCATAAAAATTCAGTCTTTGTAATTAGTAAATACTAAACAATCAGTTATAACAAATTTAATACAGGAGAAAAGGAAATGGAACATTGAATAAACCACACTAGAAGTAGTTTCACGCAATACCACAAATTGCTACAAAACCAAAACATTAATCTAAGAACTCAAGTCTTGTTCTTAAATAGTCTTATCAAATCAAGACATTCATATGGATGCCATGCATGCCACCAACCCCATTCAGAAATATCAAAACTGTCAGCTTCTAAGATAAATGGCTAAAATGGCTCTGAACAAGAGAAGCCTGAAGATCTTAGTGAAGAACAAACTTCTTCGGACCTTGTGGACAGAAGCTACTTTAATCTCAAAGAACTGTACCAAATAACAGAAACCCCATTACTTGAGGACTACCAACAGCAGCAACAGCTAAAATTGATAACACATGTAACTTGAAGAGAAAATAATGACATAATCAAGATGTTGATGTTCTACACTACTTCAAACAAAAGTATAGAAAGGAAACCCCCATCAAAATCAGTTACTGGATTTCCTGAGAAAAAATTTATAAATTTCAACTGAGAGCAGTACTAGCTGCTCAGTCAATGGATGCTGAATGTTTCCTTATAAGGAGACGGCTAATATTATCATTACCATTACCGCCAGCTGCAAATGCACAGTAACGTTCCCTCTGATTGATTGTCAAGTTACATCAGGTCTGTATTTGTTTTCAAGATATTCAAAAGGACTTGATACTTTTCAGCAGACCTTGTATGAAGACAATTTTTACCTTTCTTTTTTTAATCAGTATCACCCCATGCAAGGCAGTGAAATCACTAAAACACAAGGGGTTACAGGGTTTGGAAGAATTATGAACAGAAACATTAATAATGAGCAGGAAGAGGAAAGAGTAATCAGGAGGACAGTAGATAGCGATTGACATTGCGTTTAAATTTTTGCAAGGCAATAGAGCTACTAATACACAAAGGGTTACAGGGTTTGGAAGAATTAGGAACAGAAACATTAATAATGAGCATCAAGAGGAAAGAGTAAATAGGAGGATAGTAGATAGTGATTGACATTGCATTTAAATTTTTGCATGGCAATAAAGCCACTGAGACACAAGGGGTTACAGGGTCTGGAAGAATTAGGAACAGAGACATTAATAATGAGCAGCAAGAGGAAAGAGTAAATAGGAGGATAGTAGATAGTGATTGACATTGCATTTAAATTTTTGCAGATTAATGTTGGCTGGATAGCATGGAGCTGGAAGAGAGGTCTACAAGTGAAAAGTGTGAGAAAAGAAACTGTTAGCATAGAATTTATGGTTACATCTAGCCAGCTGAAGTGTAAATTGGAGATCTAGATGCCAGTCTATTACTGTGCTTGAATTCAAAAGATCTAGCTACCATAGTGAAGAGCTCATCTGAACAATTACCATAAAAGTATTTATAGAAAAGGCACAGAGAAGCAACCTTACAGCAATGAGAAAATGACTGAAGCCAAGATGCCAGGTCAAGACCAATGATATTACTGATTCTTCTTTGGATTTTTTTCAAAGAGCTCAAGGTAAATAGCAGCTTCACCAGACCATTGGCAGCAATATTCTAAGAATGGACAAATTATTTTTATTTGTTTTTGTTGTTTTTTTTCCTTTTGTTTTTGACTTGTTTTGTTTTTTGTTTGTATATTTACTTTTTGTAATTTGCAAAGAAAATGTCAAGTAAATTACCTTTTTCATTTGTAATTCCAGGTGTTTTATTTTCAAATGTCTGCTATGGACATTATGGATGTTTCTCCAATTCCCCACCTTTCACCAACGCCCACACTTATCTGCCTGAGCCCCCATCTAAACTTCAAGTCAAACTTATATTGTACACACCTGAGACAGGTACAGAGAAACCCCAAATTGTTGAGGACAATACTTTTAGCGTCAACAGCAGCCGATTCTCTAGTCAAAGACCTACCAAACTTATCATCCATGGATACCAGCAAACTGCTTTTGATTTGTGGGTCAAAAATATGGTCAAAGAAATAATGAAAAGGGTATGTACAGTGCCTTATTTGTGAGGCTCATTGTGTAGTGTTATACAAGAATAGAATTTGTACTTAATTTCACACCAAGGGAGCCTGATGTAGGGTTGACCAAAGGTCACTCTTGACCTCTGAATGCAGAATCATGTGACTCCACAGCTGCATCTGATCTTGCAAGTCTGTGAATGACAAGCCAAAGAGATATAGTTATATAAGCAACCACCCCAGAGAGGTGTTGGACAGTCTCTCATACATTGCAAACAAGGATGTAAGGTCCACATTTCAGATGTCAGCTCTGAGGGGTTGCACTCTGCACACTGGCTGAGAGTAATTGATAAAGTGTCAGTCTTTAACCTTTGTGCCTGAAAAAAATCGTTTGTGTCAAAAGGATGGTTTTTCCCTTGACACCACTATTATTTTAACTACCTTCACTCTTCGTCAATGTTTATTGTTTTAAAAAGCAATGATTAGAATTTTAATAAAACCTAAACATATGAAAGTGAATTTATACATTTTCTTTGTTCTTGAAAATTGACAACAAAAATAATAAACACTATTTATTTATTGGTGTAATAACAACTTGGAGGCATGATAAGCTTTATTGAGTTTGAATGGGAAGACACAATTTATTCCTAGTATCTAAGTGCAGGAGAGGTCTTCTTTCAAGGGAGACAATGGTTATCAAGGGAGGTAACTGCTGTTGGTCTATACCACAATTCGATTGTTTATTTACACTATTTATTTATTAAATTGTTTATTGGAATAGTTGGCAAAACATTGGCTAATTGCCAGTTGATTCAAACTTTATAAAATGGTAAATAAGGATTTCCTTATAGTTGGTTTGATATTTTAATAATTTAGTAAGTGTTAATAAATTTATGAATAAAAATTTGTTTTTGTATTTATTTCCTTATAAATTGGTAAATGGTAAATATTGTATTGCATTAGTTATATTTTATTAGTTTTTAGAATGTTATAAATATAAAATTATTCTTTTAAATAAACAATCTAATAACTAAATTGTGTTTAATATTTTTGTTGCAGGCATGAAGTTTAATTTAATTTAATTAATTAATGGGAATATTTGTAAATTTCTTCTGTTAGTAAATATGAATTTGAATTCTTGATATTAATAAATTTTCGGCAATTATGGTGAAGTCAATCAGTCTGGACACTTCATTCTTGAAGTCCAGCCCCAGAAGGGGTTTTTCTCTACAGACAGTACTTCTTTTAGAAGAGGCTAGGATTACTCCCTGGTGCCTGAGGCATCCCCCATAAAGCAAAATAACCAAGGAGGCTAAACTATTTTTGCCCACTGGCCCCATCTACATAATGGGTTCCCATTTTAAATTTAGCCTTGTGCTGTTAAAGTGGGCTTATAGATAAATCCGGATTAACAAATTATTTGACATTCTATCGAGAAGTGGCTTCAGGAAATGATGTCACTAATTGAACAGCTTAAGTATGAACAAATGTCAAAGTTCTTTTAATACAAGAACAATTAAGTTAAGCAACGTCGAGCCTGAGCAATAACTAGAAGGGTGACCGTTTGGGAATACCGGGTGCTGTAAACTTGGATGTGTGGGTGATGTAATGAATAATGGTTCAGAATTGTTAATCAGAGAGCTGAGTTCCAATTTCCATTGGATTCATTATATTCACTTATGTGCAAATACTCTTAGGAAAGATATGAATCCATCTCTTCTCCCTCCAGCTATAAGTTAACTAGTAAGATTTGTATCATTAAACCATTATTATTATCTCAAAAGAAATTCTTACAATTTAAAAAAATATTTTCTGGCTTTAAATAACATGCAAAGTGTTGATAAGCTGTAAAAAATGAATCAGTCAATCAATGAAATACTGATTAGCTACACAGGCATGTCTTTTAGATTTGTTTATATCCTCTGGAATATAAATATACAGAAACTACTGTGGCCACAAATTGAGGGATCAATTTATGTAGTGATTGCAATATAAATTGATACCCCACTTTATATCCACATTATAATTTCTTGTTTATCAAATTTTGATTAGGTATGAATCTATCTTATTATGAATAATCAAGAGTTGTCTCTCCTTGTTTTGTTACTCTCCTTTTTAGAGAACGATTTCTGTTTACTGGTACGATAAAAGGACACTATACACAAACCTTGTACTCTAAGTTGAATAAAGCTTTCTTAAAGCTTACACCTACATACTTTTGTCATTACACACCTCTTTTCCTCCTAGCTATGGGTTAATTAGTAAAATTTGTATCACTAACTCATTGTTATCTCAAAAAGAACAAAATTCATACAAAATAAATAACTTGCTTTAAATAACCTACGAAGAGTTAATAAACAATAAATGATGAATCAAACAGAATATAATACAAGGGCGTTTAAAAAATGTACACTAAAGCCAAAAGACACTTCAGGAAACCAAAATACTGCTTTTTATTTTAATTATTTCTTTATCTCTTCTTTTCTCAAGGAAGTTGCCAACATTTTCGTAGTTGACTGGAACACGGGGGGTAAAGGAATTTTGTATCACCAAGCTGTTGCAAACGCACGTCTGGTGGGTGCTGTTGTAGCCAGCATCATAAAGACACTTCAGGGTGATTTTCATGCTTCTATGAACACCTTCCACCTAATTGGCCACAGTCTGGGGGCACATATTGCTGGTTATGTAGGGCAAGCAGTATCAGGACTTGGACGCATATCAGGTAAGAGTTTGTTAATATTTATTTTAATTTTAAGTTTGGTTTGGTTTATCAGCATATCAACACCTATGTGAGTTATTTAATGACAGACTTATTTAGTATTAGAAATCAAGGGTGTGGAAATTATATATATATATATATATATATATATATATATATGTAAGGTTATCTGGTGTGTATCTGCATTATGTTATCATGTCATTATATAATAATGTTCACCTATCATCCAGTTCAAACTCCTCCCTTGTCTTTTGAAGAGGAATAGCATTAAATCCATTGTTTTCTGTTTAAGATTGGGTTTCCGGTTCCTTCTAAAGCCTTTTCCTTCTCTTTCTCTTCTGATAACCCCTTGTATCTTGGTGGCATTATCTCCTTGCTTGGCATGGTGCCTTTGTAACACTCTACTTTGAGTCACTCTTGAGCCTTGTACAGAGTGGATATCATTGTAAAAAAATGATTCAGAAGAATAAAAAAGAAAGGGGTTTTAGTCACAGTTGGGATAGAAAGTTTTGTGAGTATAGCTGGCCACTCATATTCAAGGATACCTGTCTACTAGGGTGGCTAACCAATCCCTATTGCAGACGCCTGCTCAGGCACATTTGTGTTTATTCAACACCCACAGAGCCCACCTGTGGTTTATACTGCAACTATGCTGAGCAGACCTGTTATGGTGACCTATCTACATTAGAATGAACTCTTCCTCCTTCATAAATACTAACCTGCAAGACTTCCTAGGCAGGCAGTCAGGACGCAGTGTAACCTGACAGCTCGGATGAACACTTCTCTCTGCTGACTAATAACACCATTATTTTGTATATATGTTATTTCAATACACTTGTTCAGCCTACCTTCTTCTATCCGTGTCTTTCTTTCTGGACCCTAACAGGCCACAACAAGACCTTAGTTACAGTTTCCGGGAAAGAGCGTGTTATCTAGCATGATCAACAATTTGAACAAGGCCAGCACACTAAAGCCCTCAGACACGATGACTAGTGACTTCATGCTAGCACAGCTATCGACGACTCACAAGGGTTCTGTCTACCCAATTTCACTCAGAAGGCTTAGTTCAACCCATGGTATGGTTTTCAGGCACTTTCCAAAGGTGCTGCAGGCTGGGTTCAATGCCTTCAGTCTGATAAAGTCAGGAAGTCTCATTCCTAACAAATGAAACATGGTGAGATTCAGGTCTCATGGTTAGAATGCCAACATTCTAACCACTCGGCTACTTTATGTGTAGTGTATGCAAATAATATGTTTAAGATTAGATTTTCATGTCAAATCTGGCTTCTTTCAGGAACTGGATTATTTTAAGATGGATTAACATTATTGAAGAATTCTTTTAAGTTGTTTACTTGATAATATTGAGTTTGAATTTGGTTTAGACATTCACAATTCACTTGAATATGTTTCACTGTGTATTGTTCTTGACATGCAATACATATTGAACGTTCTTAATTTTTCAGTAGGGGATTATATGTAGTTTCAGTATGACCTCTGCGGGGTCTGACCAACACAGTCTCCTCCCTTATCTTTCTGTGTCCAAAGAGAGAGGAGAGAAAAAAGAGAGAGAGAGAGAAGGAGAGAGAAAGGAAGAAAAGAGAGAGGGAGAGAAAAAGAAGAAAGAAACCAATTTAGAAACTTTATTTTTTTTAATCATTTCACCCCAAGTAAGGTGAGAGTGCCACTAGCACGCAAGGGGTTACAGAGAGTGATAGCAAGAGGAAAGAGGGATGTTTGAGGAAAGGATAAAGAGAAAGACGGGGATCAGGATCAAGGCATCAGATGTCGATTGACATTACATTTGAATATTTGAAGATTATAACTATCAGAGAAGCAAGTAAGAGGAAGGGAGTGTGTGCAGTTGTTGATCTAATGAACAAAAGGAAAGGTAAAGTTCGATGCTACTCTTGCAGCATGTAATCAACTTGGTGAAATGTTGTCGCTATATCTAAATGTAATATTTGTAATGTTATGTATTCAGATAAATAAGTGAAAGATGTGAGTAATTAATTGTGAAAATTTCAATTTCGTTTGTTTCACAAATGATCAAACAAAAACCCTGGTCAAAGGTTCACTGAAAGCCTAGTTAGTGGACAAGAGCTAATCATATTTATAATAAAAAGGTAGGATTTGTTGGAATTTTTGGGTACCCTGGTGTACTAGTGAGCCAGCCAAAATGAGCTGACTCATTTTATAGTTCACCAATAGAAGGGTTAACCAATCAGAAGGCTCAAAATATTCAATGCGACGTGTATAAAGGCGGCCATGTTTTTCCCGAATATTCACTGCCAGCCTTTGATATCAAAGACTGAAGAATTACGGAACAGATGCTGGTGGTATTGGCGATATAGTCAGATTCAGTAGAGTGTCTGACTCGAGAGTGTTAATCTTTAACATTGTTTCATTGAACAGATTACGTACTGCACTGTATTCTATATTCATAGACTATGGTGAACATGGTCAACAGGCTTCGGAGGAATCTAAAAGTTAAATTTATTAATCACAAGCTTATTGGTTAATATATATTTTTAAATATTCCTTTTAAGGAAGAAAAATATTGTTGAACATATTCTGAAGTTGAGCCTCCAAAATTTAATTCTAAGATATTTTACCGTTTGCCAATTCAAAAAATACTGTGCATCTTGTACAACATTGTTGGTTGGTTAATATATATGAACACAAAGATTCAAATAATTGGAGCCTGTCAATGCACAAAAATTGAGTGACCTTCTATGATCTAGCCAATGTACAAAAAATGAATTTTCAATGACAGTACTTAAATCTATCAGTATTTTTCTAACATTCTGAAATAGGGCAGCACATGCCCGTATATGGCAGCAGTACTCCATTGTCAGCTAGATTTGGCTCTTGTAAAGATAGAGGATATCAGGAGGAATTAGGTATAGAGAACTGACCCTTTTTCCAGCATCTTTAGTAATGGATTATATGTACAAGTTCCACTTGAGGTCTGGGCTGAGTTTCAGTCCTAATAGGTGCACAAGGCATGGGGCCTCCCCAATGGAATATCTGTTCATTGCGATTGGCGAGAGTTCAGGGCCTGATCGGCAATGATGAAATGTCACTAGTTTGGTTTTCAAGGCATTTAATGTGACCAGTCAGTTTTTTCCCCACTAAGCTGTTAGAGCTAGATCAGAGGAGAGATCAGCTGCCAGATTCAGGTCATTTACTTTGGAGGTGCACCCACATCCCATTCTATCATCAGCATAGATATACATAAATGGTCGAAGTATACTCTTTGGCAGATCATTTATGCAAAGTAGAAAAAGAGTTGGACAAATAAGCAAACCTTGGGGGAAGCCTGCATTGATTCTTAGGGTCTATGTTCCATAGTATTTAGCAATTTTAAGTTGGCAAATGTTTTATGCATATATATATATATATATATATATATATATATATATATATATATATATATATATATTTATGTTGGTCACACCACAAACTCGCTTTCATGATGCTTGACACTACATTTGAATGAAAACTCTAACATTTTTAGGCATTTAAAACAACATGCGTGGCCACACACACAATTCCGTAAAATCCTCATCAAAAACACAATTATACTTCAACATGAAAACAATAGACAAAAACTAAAAATTCTTGAAGCAATATACATCAAACAGTTGAAACCCAACCTAAACAAAATCAACTATGGAATCTCTACAAATATCCTTAAATGTCTATAATTGGTAACAGAAGCCATTGGTTTATACCAACGGCTTCCCATATTTAATACTTCTCGAATTCACTCTCGCGTGGTCATGTGTGACATCATGAGCTGTGGTGCAATTTTTGCTTTTAGTGTCTTATATACATGTGTTTATCGTTGCTAGGAAATCATCCGTGTAAACAGAAACAGACTATCATCACTGTCTTGTCCGTATATTGCTTAATATGTTGTACAGTAATTGACATCTTTGATAATGGATTATGTAAGCTGGAAGCTTAGATTAGATTAAAAAATATGGATCAACATTGTGATTTTCTTTCTTCGTTTAATGATAATGTTATTAAGCTTATCAGACGTTATGAAAAGTATTTACATAAAATAAATAGGCAACACTTGTCTATATTATTTAATGAAACATATATATATTATTATTATTATAGAATATCAAAGGCTTAAAATCCCATAGGTAATAATTTTTATTTCATGAGAGCTCTAAAAAAAGCAGCTGTCAATCTTCAAGACCTACAAACAAATCATAAATGAAATGGAAAAAATATTCCAGGTTAAAATCAATAGATATTGCTATCTCATTTAGAGAGTGGGAAAAGGCAGAGATTGCTGACCTATTTTGATATAATGACCTTAATATATTATTTGAGGATGGTGGAAGGGCTTAAAGTTTATTTAGTTCAGTGTGAATTGGAAACAATTCCGTCTGGGTCTGTCAATGGCCAAATTTCAATGCTGATATATTTCACTCAACAAATTAATTGTAAATAATATTAAAAGAGAACATTTTTAAAGATTTTGAAATTAGCAAAATCTTTTTGTAAACTTTTTATATAATTAACCAAGAAATTTAAATTGAAATACCTAAGAGATTTGAATGAAATGATTACTAATTATAGTCAAAGAAATATATTTATAAAGGTTATGTACCTATATATATATATATATATATATATATATATATATATATATATATATATATATGTGTAGAGAGAGAGTCTGCCAAGAAAACATATACACTCTTTAGGAAAGGAAAAACTTGTATAGACATTGTAATACTAAATATATTCAGACATCACAAGTTACCTTTGTACTCTACAATCACAAGAGACGCTCAAAATGGTGGCCTTTAGCTTCCAGACATTTATTAGTGCAACAAACTAATGCTTGGTTAACGTTGGCCAAAGTGTCCAGTGTGATTGCTGCACATGCATTTCCAATTTCTTGTCTAAAGATCACCAATGTAGTTGGTTTTATGCAATACACAACATCCTCTAAGGTCTCCTATAGTAAACAGTGTTATCACAGTTTGATAAAACTATGAAAGACAAGTTTTTCCTTTCCTGAAGTGTGTATACATTTTTTGGTGTACTCTGTATACAGCCTATCAGATAGCACATCTTTGCATGTAAGACCCTAGATTTTGGATCATTTTACAAAATAAATATTTAAACTCTTATTTGCAATTAAATATGGTAATTTAGATTTGACTGATTTTTTTTAATGGCAGCTTCCTTCTTTAATCTGGTGCCTGTGTTTTCATTTTATTTATTTTTATTTAAATTCATAAAGTCGCATCCTCCTGGTGTCAGTTTAAACTGATGCTTTCTTTTTCCCCTATATCTCAAATATAATTATAAACAATAATTTTGTAAAGTGAAGATTTCTCTGAAATATGTCAGAAATTTTCCAAGTTTTCTTCTGAGATCAACAAAATACAAATTTTATGACAAATGGTTACAATATATAAGAGAAAGAAAGTGTCATTTTAACCTGACGTCAATTTAAATTGATGCCTTCTTTTTTCTTCATATATCTAAACTGTAATTTTGGAAAAAGAAAATTTCACTCAAATATGCTGCAAAGTTTCTAAGTTTTCTTCTAAAATCAAGAAATCACAAAATAGTCAGAATATATGGAAAAGTAGGTGTCAGTTTAACCTGCATACACTTGGCATCAGTTTAAATTGAAAGCTTCTTTTTTTCTTATATCTAAACTATAATTTTGGAAAATGAAAATTTCACTCAAATATGTTGCGAAATTCCCAAGCTTTCATCTGAAATCAAGAGAATATTTACTTTAAACACATTTTAAAATGACGCTGAGAGAGCATATGTTTATTTAATTCATCTTAGTTTTTTTTTTACAATTGATACAACACAAACCATCTCATCAAAGATACTTTGTACACTGTTAATAACAGTTGCCTACTATTTACACTTTAGGTCTTGATCCAGCGGGTCCAGGCTTCGAGGGAACAGATGATCAAGTCAAGTTAGATTGTTCAGACGCCCAGTTTGTTGATATAATCCATACAGATGTGAAGCCATTGATGTTTCTAGATAAGTAATCTTATGAATAATTTTTTTTTTTTTTTACTTTTTTTAAAATTTTCTTTTTTAGTGCCATGTTCCTCTAGGACATGGCAGATCATTATTCTTTACACAGTTTTCTTTATTATCTGTGAATTGTCATGTGTGGGGTTCAGCGTACCCGGATTAAAGGAGAATTTAATACGGGATACCCTGCCCACAAAATACAACGCAAATTTCAAGAAGAAACAACACAATAAGGAACGTTTATAAAAAATAGAACATTGTATATTTATTATCTTGCGAATAGGGTAAAAAACATTACTATTTTAGTTCGTTTAAGCAAAAATGTGATTTTTATAAAAGTGTGTGTGTTCGCTAACTTTTAACAGAGTAGCAGAATAGTGTCTGTTTCTTTTTGTTTTTTATAGTTGTAAAATGAAAAAGGGGCGAGCAATTTAAGTAAAAAAAAAGTGTGAATAAGGAATAAAGATAAAAGGAAAATGTACTTATGAATTGTTTTGAAGTCAGTTGTAAATTTGTTGTTGTTGTTGTTCCTTCCTAATCCACTTTCGGGTTGAGTCAGTGATGGAATTTACTGTCAATCTTCTGTGATCTTTTGCGCCCTTCTCTGACTGACTGACTGACTGGCGACTGACTTGAAAACTCTGTATTTATTGTTGACTTTTTTTTTCACACTGGCTCGTTATCTTTTTTTTTTTTTTGGTTTAGCAAATCGCCTCCTTTCATTGGTCAGAAAATTAATTTCACACCTTATTGTGAAATCTGTTTCTGGTCGTTTTGATCCGATTTTGCGAGTGTGCAAATCTACTTTGTGTTTTTTTTTTAGTCATTTGCTGGAATATAGGATTTGTATCCTATACATGCATTCTTGGGGAGTGGTTTGCCGTTACCTTCTCCACAGTTTGGAATTCAGAATTTTCGTTTTCTTAGATACTTTTATAATACCAAATTTCACCCAATATAAGGTAGGAAAGCCACTCAAGGTAGAGGATGACTGAATGAAGTCTGTGATGTGAATGTAAGAGGAGATGAAAGGAAGTGAATATTATGAGGATGAGAAGGACAGATAAACATTGACCCTTGATTTGAAAGAGGAAAGATTGTAGCCTTCAGAGAATCATTCATAAGTAAGTCCATTCTATGAAGTAGAAATTTTGGGAAAAAAAAACAAACTGAGTGGAACTTCCTCCTTACAAATGGAATATAAAGGAAATGAGGCTGATTTGACTCCGTGGAAGTAGCATGGCATATTCTAGCTGTAAAAGTCTAAACTGGTGGAAGTAAAGAATGGAGCTCGTCTGAACATTTGCCATGGAAATAACGATAGAGTAGAGAGAGGCTTAGCTGTAAAAGTCTGAACTGTTGAAAATAAGGAATGGAGCTCATCTGAACATTTTCCATGGAAATAGTGATAGAGTAGAAAGAGGCTTAGCTGTAAAGGTCTGAATTGGTGGAACTAAAGAATGGAGCTCATCTGAACATTTTCCATGGAAATAACTATAGAGAAGAAAGAGGCTTAGCTGTAAAGGTCTGAACTGTTGAAACTAAGGAGTGGAGCTCATCTGAACATTTTCCATGGAAATAACAATAGAGTAGAGAGAGGCTTAGCTGTAAAGGTCTGAACTGGTGGATCTAAGGAATGGAGCTCATCTGAACATTTGCCATGGAAATAACGGTAGAGTCGAGAGAGGCTTAGCTGTAAAGGTCTGAACTGGTGGAATTAAAGAATGGAGCTCATCTGAATACTGCTATGGAAATAACAGAAGAGTAGCAACAGACTAGCGACGATGCATCTATGGGAAAGAGGTTGCAGTTTGGAGAATAAGTCATCGCCCACAAGACCATGTAAACAATTTTGAACTTTGTTCAAAACTGGTAAGTGAGGATTGTACAGCTTCAGTCTAGACAAAACAACATTACTCCATTTTTGTCTGATATGACTCTTCATAAAGATAAAGCCTGGCAGAATGAGTCAGGTACTTCCTGGAGTGGTAGATTGAGCTGACCATGTTTCCAGCATCTTTAGAAACTGATTGCATATATGAGGATGGGGAGAATAGATAAGTGTTATATACCATATCTATGAACATTAATGGGTATGTCCCAATCCTCATAAATATGTTGGACACTATTGTAAGTGTGTGTGTGGGGGGGGGGCGGATAACATGCTGTCTAAGTAGTCCACCACTAGCAGTGGTTTACCTACTTCAAGCCGCTGGCGAGTATTGTATTTTGTTGATGTTATAAAGATTACCATTTCATTTCCGATCTCTGTTTTGGTTATTCCTCAGTCAGTAACTACAACAATAACAATTGAAGCAGTTAAGATTATAGTGTTTCCACATTAAACAGTTCATTCTCCCATGAATGTCTTAAATGAAGACATCACCAGCAGTGATCTTTTGAAGCACTTTCAATTTTCTGAAGGGCAATGATCAGATTTCCTCCATGGCCTTCACAAATAGCTCCATGCAGTGCCAATGAGAGTCAATCTCTTTCGTGTTCCAAATAAACACATCCAGATTTCATCAACCTTCAACTTCTATACAGGTTCTGTATACATGTGAATGAATTTAAATGCAGTACTTGATTGGCTGATAGGTCTCATCACTTTATTTTTGAAATTGCTAAGTGTAACCATAAGTTCTATTCTAATAATTTCTTCTCTTGCATTTCTGCTATGTATCTAGATATTCTTGACAAAAATCAAAAGAAGATTCTGCAATGTTATCAGTCCTGACCTGGCATCTAAGAGCCAAGAATGAGTAAACATGGACAAATGTGCCTGCAATAAGATGTAGTGGCAAAAGGATGTTTTCTTTTCTCATGACACCACTTTCTTAACTACCTTTACTCTTCGGCAATGTTTATTGTTTTAAAAAGCGATCATTAGAATTGTAATAAAACCTAAACCTAATTTTTGTTGTTATTGTTCTTGAGAATTTACAATAAAATTATTAAACACTATTTATTAGATTGTTTATTTACAAGGATAATTTTACATTTAGAACATTCTAAAAACTAAAAGAACTGGCCACTGTAGTTTCTATATATCTATATTCCAGAGAATGTAAATAAATCTAAAAGACATGCCTGTGTAGCAAATCAGTATTTCATTGATTGATTGGTTCGTTTTCTACGACTTATCAACAAACAAGAAATTATAATGCGGATACAAAATGGGGGATCAAATGTATATTACAATCACTATATAAATTGATCCCTCACTTTGTGGCCACGGTAGTTTCTCTACATTTATAGAACCTTTGTGTTCGTAAAAAAAAAAAAGAGTGTCAAATGAACGGTTTTTCCATTGACACCGCTATTATTTTAACTACCTTCACTCCTCGGCAAGGTTTATTGTTTTAAAAAGCAATAATTAGAATTGTAATAAAACCTAAACATATGATGAAAATGAATTTATACATTCTTTTTTGTTCCTGAGAATTTAAAACAAAAATATTAAACATTATTTATTAGATTGTTCATTTAAAAGAATAATTTTATATTTACAACATTCGAAAAATGAATACAATTATTAGAACTAATGAAATGCAATATTTATTTACCAATTTATATAGAAATAAATATGAAAACAATTTTCATTCATAAACTTATAAACATTTACTAAATTATTAAAATATGTGAACCAACTATAAGGAAATCCTTATTATTTACCATTTTATAAAGTTTGAATCAATTGGCAATTAGCAGATATTTTATCAATCATTCCATTAGTCTAATAAATAGTGTAAATAAACAATCTTATTGTGCTATAAAACAACAGGAGTTACCTCTCTTGATGACAATTGTCTCCCTTGAAAGAAAACCTCTCCCTCACTTAGATACTAGAAATAAGTGGTCTATCCGTGTATCCCTGTTCAAATTCAATAAAACTTTCTTACAAATTATCACACTTCTGAGTTGTTATTAAACTAATAACTAAATAGTATTTATTATTTTTATTACAATTCTAATCACCACTTTTTAAAAATAAACATTGCCTAGGAGTGAACGTAGTTAAAGTAATAGTGGCGTCAAAGGAAAAACCGGCCCTTTGAAAGTTCATTTTTTTTTTGCAGACACGAAGGTCCAGTTTACCCACAACGTGAATATTAAACACAATTTATTAGATTGTTTATTTACAAGAATAATTTTATATTTACAACATTCTAAAAACAAATACCATTGTATTAAAAACAATGCACTATTTATCATTTATCAATTTATAAAAAAATAAATATAATTATTCATAAATTTATAAACATTTACTAATTAAAATATGTGAACCAACTATAAGAAAATCCTTATTATTTACCATTTTATGAAGTTTGAATCAATTGGGAAATAGCCAATGTTTTGTCAACAATTGCAATAAACAGTCTAATAAACAAATAGTGTAAATAAACAATCTAACAGTGTTTATTAATTTTGTTGTCAATTCTGAAGAACAAAGAAAATGTATAAATTCACTTTCATATGTTTAGGTTTTATTACAATTCTAATCATTGCTTTTTAAAACAATAAACATTACCGAGGAGTGAAGGTAGTTAAAATAATAGCAGTGTCAAGGGAAAACAACCCTCCTTTACAAACTCCATTTTTTTGCAGGCACAAAAGTCCAAATTTGCCGCCGAATATTTCTTTAAATAAATATTAATAAATAGTGTAAATAAACAATCTAATAAATAGACAAAGCAAGGCAACGAATAACCTACCTAATGACCTTGTGTAAATGGTTGTTAGAACAGGGATTAGGGGAGATAACATAGGACAAACCTTACTAACAGCTACAAAAGACAGGAAGTTGTGAAGAGCTATGATCATCCACATCCTGAAGGGAAGAAGAAGAAGTAAACATTTAAAACCATTTAACACATCACGAATATAATATTTATCATTTTTGAATCTTAACCTCTTCAAGTTAAGGGTCACTCTATCTACCACCTCATCTTTCATTCATATCACACACTTAATTCCATAACCTTCTATCATGAACAGTGGTGAACAGCCCCGTAGAAGCAAGCAAGCCAGAGTGGCTTGCATCTGGTGTATAGGAAAATAAGGGTCTTACCTTAACATGCGGCACATGACATCAGCAAGTTTGCTTCGTGAAAATGTCATTACTCTCCCGTCCAGCCATTCTAGCAGTATGTGCAATGATGAGGGTTTTTTGTACAGTTTGAAATGCTTCCACCAATAGCAAGTCGTGTGCTGATTGGTCGAACTGGAGGAGGCAATTTGCCTGTGTAACCGAGAATAACAGCGAAGAACGCTGATTGGCTGAGGAACCGCGGTGTTGGCCTGATAAAAGAGTGCTGGAGCCGTGAAAAAGGGGATAGAAACGTTGGCTATAGGTAGTGACGTGTGAAGAAGAAAGTGAGGACTGTGAATTGAACCAGCGATATTGTGATTTGTACAAGTGACATTGCAGCAATACAGACTTATTTAAACTACACCTCATAATCTCAACTTCCTACCACCTCATCTTTCATTCATATCACACACTTAATTCCGTAACCTCCTATCATGAGGGCTTAAACCATATCATGTTGAAACACTGGTTCCTGTATGATGACCATAGTTAAGCAACATCGAGCCTAGTCTGTGCCTAGATGGGTAACTGCTTAGGAATACCAGGTAAGCTTGGATGTGCAGGTGGACTAATGGATAACAGCTCTGAATTGTTAATCAGAGAGCCGAGTTTCAATTCCAGTTGGGTTTGTTATATTCACTTGAATACAAATACCCTTGGGAAAGATATAAATCCACCTCTTTTCCCCCCAACTATGGGTTAATTAGTAAGAATTGTATCACTAAATCATTATTATCTCCAAAAAAAGTTCTTATGATCTAAACATATTTTTTGGCTTTAAATAACCTGAAAAGGGTTGATAAGCCATAGAAAATGAATGACTGAATGAATGAATCAAACATGAGTGGTTATTGGGTGAATATTAGTATTAAAAAATTTTTCTAGCTATTATATTTGTGTATAGTAATACTGGTGGGGGTTCAGTTTATTATATACTAACAACAGAAAACCAGTGCCCCACTTTATGTCCAATAGCATCTGTACTCTAGTTTACACGTGCTGTCAAAAAATGACAGCATATTTTGTCAAGTCCTTACTATTATTAAGAGAATCTTCAAAGTTATGGGTCGGTCATCATCCATCCTCCTTATTCTCATGCTCTTCACTTCCTACTACTGCCTCTTCCTCCTCATCATCATCCTTCGACCTTCCTATGGTTGGTCTGAACTCCATTGGCAATCCCTTTCCACACTGTTCAGTCCTATATGGTTGTCTCCAGATCCCTAATGTCCAACCCTGAGTCCCAATCTACGGTTTCTGGGAAAGTCAATTTTTGGGAAAAGACACTTCCGGAAGGATGCCATAGGAGTAAGGTTGAGACGATTTCCTTGTCCGCTCAGTGGCAGTGGCCGGAAAACTGTAATTGTTTTTGTCTGGGCTTAAGAGAGATTGGTCTCAGTTCTCTATAAAATGTGTTAAGCATTTCATGTTCTGGATTTTTGTAAGTAGATATTGTATATGTCCTATCCAGTCGTCTTTCAAGACAAGTAGATAATGTCCAAGTTTCTGATACATACAGTAGAAGAACAGCTCATTCAGTAACACTCTATCTTGAGTGGCTCTTGAGCCTTGTATGTATAGCTGACCACTTGTATTCAAGGATACCCGTCTACTAGGGTGGCTAGCCAATTCCTATTATAGACGCTTGCTTGGGCGCATTTGTGTTTGTTCAACACCAACAGAGCCCACCTGTGGTTTATACTGCAACTATGCTGAGCAGACCTAAGTTACAGTTTCTGGGAAAGAGTGTATTATCTAATGTGATCAACAATTTGAACAAGGCCAACACACTCAAGCCCTCAGCCACGATGACTTGTGACTTTGTGCTAGCACAGCTATCGATGGGCCCCAAGGGTTCCGTCTACCCAATTTCACTCACAAGGCTTGGGTCAAACCGTGGTATGGTTTAAGGCACTTTCCAAAGGTGCCATATGTTGGTATTGACCTCTTCAGCCTGAGAGCACCAGGAAGTCTTGTTCCTGACAAATTGACCATGGCGAGATTCAAACCCGGGTTTCATGGTCAGAATGCAAACGTTCTAATCATTCGGCCACATGCCTTGTACTGAGAGAATTTTAAATAAAAAAAAAAAAAAAAAGAAAAAGAAAAGAGGAATTAACTTACATAGATTCTGTGTATTTATTAACAAATTTTGCTTTCAGGTTTTGGAATTCGGCAACCAACAGGTACAGTAGATTTTTATGTCAATGGTGGCATATCACAGCCAGGCTGTCCAAATGCACTTTATTCACATGCTGTCAATCTTTTGCAAGGAAACATCAGAGGTATACTATTTTGTTTAATCTTTTTGAAATTGCATTCCAACAATGAAATTCCTTCTCTGTGCTTGTGATATTGGGAATGCAACATAATGGCTGATCCATTCTATCGTCAATCTGAAATGCATTGATCACATTTCTATTTCATGAGCAAGTTTCTTTCTGCTATCATTATTGAAAGAATTTAGGTTTTCCATCTTTGTTTACAGATTATGCAATTGATGAAGAATAAGTTGGTTCAAATATTATCAACATTAACAACAAGAAAGTGTTCCATTGTCTAAAAACATTTGAAAAATTAAAAGATCTCAAAATTACAAACAAGATAAAAATTCTAAACATTATTAATTTTTGACTAGGATTTCTTTCATCTTCATTTCAATTGCTTTATTTCCACTAGTAGTATTAGTAGTAGTAATATTATCTGCAATTTTCATTAGATGAAGCATTGTCAAGCATTATTCATTTTGGACTAGGATTTCTTTCATCTTCATTTCAATTGCTTTATTTCCACTAGTAGTATTAGTAGTAGTAATATTATCTGCAATTTTCATTAGATAAAGGATTGTCAAGCATTATTCATTTTGGACTAGGATTTCTTTCATCTTCATTTCAATTGCTTTATTTCCACTAGTAGTATTAGTAGTAGTAATATTATCTGCAATTTTCATTAGATGAAGCATTGTCAAGCATTATTCATTTTGGACTAGGATTTCTTTCATCTTCATTTCAATTGCTTTATTTCCACTAGTAGTATTAGTAGTAGTAATATTATCTGCAATTTTCATTAGATGAAGCATTGTCAAGCATTATTCCTTTTAGACTAGGATTTCTTTCATCTTCATTTCAATTGCTTTATTTCCACTAGTAGTATTAGTAGTAGTAATATTATCTGCAATTTTCATTAGATGAAGCATTGTCAAGCATTATTCATTTTGGACTAGGATTTCTTTCATCTTCATTTCAATTACTTTATTTCCACTAGTAGTATTAGTAGTAGTAATATTATCTGCAATTTTCATTAGATGAAGGATTGTCAAGCATTATTCATTTTGGACTAGGATTTCTTTCATCTTCATTTCAATTACTTTATTTCCACTAGTAGTATTAGTAGTAGTAATATTATCTGCAATTTTCATTAGATGAAGCATTGTCAAGCATTATTCATTTTGGACTAGGATTTCTTTCATCTTCATTTCAATTGCTTTATTTCCACTAGTAGTATTAGTAGTAGTAATATTATCTGCAATTTTCATTAGATGAAGGATTGTCAAGCATTATTCATTTTGGACTAGGATTTCTTTCATCTTCATTTCAATTGCTTTTCACTCAAAAAAAAATGATTATTCTTACAATCCACAACATATTTTGGCTTTAAATAACCTATAAAACTTGTACAAAAAGACAAATCAATCAACCAATGTCCCTCTTGCCATTTATTGTTCTTTCTTCTTTCAGAATTAGTGAGTGGAGTGCTGTGTGATCATTGGCGTGCTGTAGATATCTATCTGTCATCTATTAATGAATGCAACTTTTATGCCTGCCGGACTGCATCAGTGCACAGTGCCATCTGGGGCCACTGCAATACCAAAGTTTCCAAAGAATTTGTCATGGGATATGATGCACAAGTTACTCCTCCAGGAATTTATTATGCAAAAACAAGCCGAAAAAGACCCTTTTGTTGAAGAAATTCACCAAAGTATTTTGTCTCCATTGTTTTTTCCAGAATTTTCATGGCATAATTAGTGTTATACAGTGATATTTTCAGACCAGATTCTTTATATCTGTTGTCTTTATTCCATCAGTTTGACAACCGTACCCTCTGACCTTTCTTAAATGTCAGTCACATTCACTAACATTTTTTTAAATATCAGACCAAAACCTTTATTTGATCCTCACATTCCTTCCTTTATTTACCATGTTCTGATGTCCTTCCAATGGGATATTATGCAAAAGCCTTTATTTGATCCATGGGACTATGCTGTTCTAATTCCATTACCTATCGTGTCCTATGCCACCCAAAAAGAATTTCAGAATTTATAATTAGTGTCTGAATTTCTGAGATGAAGAATTATCATTATTATACACTGATTTATTTGACTCACTGTCCGCATCTTAGTTTTTATAGTCACAATATTTCAGGCATTGTAGCCATTAATTGCCTGTCATATTTTTCCAGATGATATCAATGTTACAAGAGAAATCATCAAACAATATTAATGCTAAAGATCTTCTTTGTTATGTCCTCTGATCAGTGGGAGGATAAATTAAGACTGACAGGAGAAAGAAGAGGGAACATTATTTATTTGGAAAAATCAGTAGAGAGGACAAAAGTTCTTGCAGAGAGAAACAGCCATATAGACCCAAAGCTAAGCTTGTTATCCATGCAACTTCTTACTATTTGCTCCAGTATCATTTCGTGCTTTGGAAATAATGGGCCTTTACTTGTTGGTACAAAGAATAAACAAGAGATGTTTTCTATATATTGTCTATGCCTATTTTTTCAGTGGGAGGCTAAATTAAAACTGACAGGAAAAAGAAAAGAGAACATTATTTATTGGATGACTTGTTGTTTCAGTGGGAGTATAAGACAGGTTATCCGTGGTTTCTCAATGTGTTTTTTTTTTTTACAGGTTTTTCACACGTCTTTTTTTTTTTTTGGCTGTACTTACACCTTTGAAATTGTCTCCTGCTCAATGCCACCAAAAGTGATTATAGTATCTGATTTGACATGCAACAATTTAACTACTGTCCTGGGTATGACAATAAACTACATCCAGCAGCAAGACCTCTGATCAGGAGGTTTTGAGAAGCGTGGAGCCACCTCTTAATTGCTGATGTTCCCATGTCCACCCTAACCTAGAGTGGTAGCACCTGTTAGGGTCTCGGCTATAGGTAAATAGTTAACCCCCAAACTAGGGTCAAAACATTATGAAAGTGTAAAAATAGATTTTAATAATCAGCAATACAGTTTTGGAAAAAATTATTACCAGCAATACTTTAAAAAAAAAAAAAAATTACCAGCAATAAAATTTTTGTCAACATTAAATAACCCATTGAGGTTGACATGCTGTAAAAAAAAAAAAAAAAAAAACAAAAACAAAAAAAAAGCAATTTAACTAGGCTAACATGATATTACAATAATTAGTTAATATCTGATTTCTATAACGAGTATGACTTGTACCTGAACATCCATTTAGAGTATAGGTACAACTATGTGTGTGTTTATTTTGTGGTTGGTGGAAGGAGACTTTGATCATCATCATTTTCAATTTTCATATGCCTTGTCAGGTCCAACCTGGTCTTGTACACCCAAGTGCAGGTCGGGCATTCAAAACATGTCATTACGAAATCATCATGTACAATTGACTGTTGGTGTGATTTCTGGTGACTGAACCGACCTGCCCTGGATAGACATATCTGATTGCATTGGACACATGGCCAGGTTGGCACCTTATGTCAATTCAGGGATCCCTTCCGAACTCCTCTCTTCTGTAAATTTTTGTGATGCCTCATGGAAAATCTTGACACCATCAGCAATACCAGCTTTCCAAGAAACCCAGTGTTCAGCTAGAGAGTGTGTGTGTGCATATATATATATATATATATATATATATATACACACACACACATCACTCCTCTTTCTCCTCGAGAAATTAGAACCTCAAGTAAAGTTGAAGATTATACAGTGATTTACCAGTAGGCAAACACAAACCTTCATGCCCACATCCCAACCCTAAAAAAAAAAAAAAAAAAAAAATATATATATATATCTCAAAATGGATGCCCCCCCCTCCTCACCATGACATTGCTTTTATTTTAACTACCTTCACTTTTTGGTAATGTTTGTTTCAAAAAATGATTAGAATTGTAATAAAACTAGGTACCTCCAAACACACACACAAAATTAGCATACTCTGCTGAAAAAAATGCAAACTTAACGAAACCAGTTTCATTGTTGAAATCTTTATTATTATCAACACCTTAAATAAGCAGCATAACAGAATATTTTCTTAAACTTTTAAGATTCAGTCAATTAGTTAAGTGCCATACATGATACACGCTTGGGTGATCATGTATCTTTCAATACACGACTGATGCAGAAGATTTTTTCATGCAGTAGGTTGGCATTTTCTTTCTGTGGTAGACTACTGGTTGCTAAACAAAGCTAAATAACCCAGTCCCTCCTGCTATTTAACCCATAGCTGGGGAAGAAGAGATGGATTCATACTTTTCCTAAGGGTATTTGTGTGTAATTGAATCTAATGAACACAACTGAAAATTTGAACTCGGCTCTCTGATTTCTCACTCTGAGCACCTAGTTCAAATTCCAGTTGAGTTTGTTAGAGTTTTAAGATTACTGAGTACTTAAAAAGGTGGTTGCTTGCATTATATTCTTCAATTATTTTTTTGTAGGTAAAGCCACCATAGAACAATGTTAGATAAAAATCTGTCATGGAGTTCTTAAAAAGCTGTCAACATAAATAAACTGCAGTATTTAAAAAAAAAAAAAAAAAAAAAAAAATGTATTTCTATATTTTAAACTTAAAAGTAAATAATAGTTGTTTCAAATCAGATTACTGTATATACTTGTGTATCATACGACTTTTCAAGAGTTAATTTTGAAGCTAATTTTAAGGGGGGGGGACACATCATACACGAGATATAAAATTAGTGTATGTACTGCTAACCCTGGATAACGCCATTGACCAAACATTTACTGGAGTCAAAAAGTCCAGCAGTATTTAAAATAAACATGATTTTGATCAAACTTATGTTTTACTTAACTTTATCCAATAATAATGCACTGCGTTTCTTAGACTACTATCTTTATCTTGGTTGCTGTTGTAACGATGTTTCAGCTTTTGTACCCTCCAGCCTACTTCAGGTATTTGTTATAGTTGGTAACCTTCCAGAATTTTTGAACTGAACACTTTATTCAATCCCTGACGTAAAATATTCTCATTCCACTGTCCATGGCAGAGGATATGTTATACCAGTTATTTTTTTTTTTTTCTTACTTTACCACATGCTGCTTCTTCTAAATCAGAGTATCTGACTTTTTTTTTTTTTTTTTTTTTACACTATCCAAGGATTGAATTCCTGACAGGAACTTGCTACACATTCTCAACTTTTGAAGACCTAATTTTGAAGCTAATTCTATAAAGGGGTTCACATCATACATGAGATGTAAAATTAATATATAGACTTTTGGTCCTGGCTACGCCATTGACCAAACTATATATATATACATTTACTGTAGTCAAAAAACATACAGGTGTATTTAAAATAAACAATTTTGATAAAACTGATGTTTTACTTAACTGGATTCAATAATAATGCATGTAATATTCATATATTAGTATCATATTATAAAATACAAACAGCAAATATACATCTTTTCCATTATTCGGACTATTGACCTCATCTTTGTCACTATATTTATTACAACGTTTTGGCCGTTGTATGCTCCAGCCTTTTTCAGGTGGTTGGAATGTCGAACTTAACCCTTTATTTCGCTCACTGGGTTAGACTGTTCTAGTTCCACATGCCATGTCTAATGGATGTCAGTTATAAGTTATCTCCTGTTAATTCTGCTCTCCAAGTTCTCCACCGCATTAACCAGGTATTGAACTCATACTCTTTGGGGTCCTGTCACTGGATCTAACTAGCGCCTTTATCCACTGTGGCATGTGTCCATTGAGGCTGAAGCGTACAACAGCCAAAACATTGTAATAAATATGACGACAATAGTCCGAATAATGTAAATAGTGGACATAATACCTCATCTCAGAAATATAGACGTCTTTTCCATTGTTTACATTTACAAGATGTTTAGCTGTTTCTCATTCAGTTGTTTATGGCTGTATACATTTATAGAACAAGTATAGCATTACTAATGATACTTTTATCATTCTCTTTTACTTTTTTAACTTATTTAACTAGAAGATGGGATAAAGAGATAGATGAAAAGAGGTTAGTCTATAGTGATTTGGTCTCTCAAAAAGGAACTCACATGCTACACTAGATACATGATAAAATCATTTTTAACTTATTTAACTAGAAGATGGGATAAAGAGATGTAGGAAAAGGTTAGTTGATTGTAATTTGGCCTCTTGTAAAAGGAACTCTCAGGATAAAATAATTTTTTTACAAGTGAAAATTTTGGGGTGACATGATATGTAAGATTGTGCATGACAAGAGTATATATTGTAATTATACTTTAAATCAGCTAATATTCCTCAAATAAAGTTTCAGAAAAGTATATTTTATTTTTGGAAGATTTTTTTTAATAAAAGAGATTTCCATTTTTATATATTTGCTAAAAATGTTCCTAAAATCAAATGTTTTAGAAATTTCAAAACAAAAATTCCTTCCAATCAATTTAAATTAGTTTTGAAATACAGAATAGTATTTTGCTTATTGGAAATATTAAATTTAATTTCTCAGCTTGAAAATAAAACTAAAATTAAAGCTTCAAGAAAGATTTTTCATAATTAAAAATTCATTTTAAATGTTAGGTATCGTGTTTTTGTGTTGGTATCTATACTAAACATTCTAACCCCTCCCCCTCAGTGTATGGATCAGTTATAACAAATTTAGTATAGGAGAGAAGGAGATTGAACATAGCAAAACTACTTCTAGTGTAGCCTATTTTTTATGATTACGGAGTATTTAAAAGGCG